CCCCCCCCTCCCGACACCCCTGGATTTCCTGGCCGTTTAAAGAGAAGCAGGGAGCTAGAAAATAAAGGAACAACATAATCTATGAAAGAGCTAAATGCTGGAGGACGCGGAGCAGATGGAGCAATAAATTCCCAGATGATCAGGCCATCGAGCATCTTTTTCCTTCGCTTCTATCTCAAAAAAAGAAGGAAAAAAACCCCTGACAGCAAAGAGATAAAGCTGCTTTATTTTTAACCCAGCTGCGTTTTTCTCGGCTCAGGAGCTTTGTCCTCACGCCTGGGGCCGTGATCTTGTTTTATTGCCTCCCGGGAAAGGCCTCTGGGGATCTTGTGATAGGGGCAAATTATGTTCCCTGAGCTACAGCTCTCCAAAATACCTTGTTCTTTGCATGATATTTATTTCTTTCCCTCCTGGCAAAGCTCGTCGATCCGCGGGGCCCAAGTAATTGAGCTGCCAGAGGGAATAAATAATAGGCAGCGATTTCCCACTCCTGGAATGAGCTGCTCTGCTCCCCGGGGGGGAGGCTGGAGGAGGAAGTGGGATTGATTTCTGCAGCCCTTGGGAGCTTTGGATCCCCGGCACAGAACATCCTGCACCCCGGTGTTGCCCTCCCTCCAGGTATTGAGGTTCCCCCTGGCTGACTTCTTCTTTTCCTGGCAGGAATTTCTTGCGGGAGGTGATGTTCACCGGCGGCTCCCATAGTCCTTATGCCAAAATGATGAGGGGACAGATCACCCTGTCCCAGGTGAGCCCTTAGTTACCAGCCATGGAGCATCTCTGACATCTTGGATTGGGCTGGGCTGGGGCTGGGCTGGGTTCAGATGAGGCTGGGATGGGTTTGGATGGTCTCAGATGGGTTTGGATGGGGCTGGGATGGAGACTGGGAAGGAGCCAAGGAGAACAGGCTCCAGGGTAAACTCTAATTTGTTGGGAGTTGATTAAATGGCTGGCTGGATGTTCTTCAGCTGTTTTCAGAGCTAGAAGAGGGCTGCAAGCAGCACGCATCCACCTTGGGCACAGCCCTGCCACCCACCTTCTCGGTGGCCCGAGCCTTCGAAGAGATGGCAGCCAAGGGGGCAATCAATGCCCCCCTCCTGCGGGCAGCCAGGGTGCTGCGGAGGAATGGTGGGTGCTGGGGGGCACTGGGGCGTGGGGTGGTGGAGTGAGGGTCCCAAACAGGTGCCACGGGGATCCCTGATCAGTCCCACCACATGGTTCCTGGTGGATTCTGCTACAGGGTCCCTGGTCAGCCCCTCCGTGGGGCTGTCAGACAGACGCACCATAGGGGTTCCCGGTTGGTCCCACCACAGGGGTTCCTGGTCAGTCCAACCATGGGGATTCCCAGTTGGTCCCACCATGGAGGTCCTGGTCAGCCCCACCAGAGGTTCCCTGATTGGTCCCACCATGGGGGTCCCTCCTACCAAATCCATCAGACATGTTATCACTGAGCCAGCTTTGCCCCACACCATGGCCAGGTGCTCCTGGGGTGTCCTGGTGTGGACAGAACCTTGCGAACGGGAGACTGTAGGTTGAGGAGAAACAAGAGCTGGAGTTGGAAAACCAGTGCTCCCCACTCTGCCCTTCCCCAGGGTTTAAGACCTGTGTCTTCACCAACAACTGGGTGGACGACAGCGCCGGGCGGCTCTTCACAGCCCGCCTGATGACCCTGCTGCGCCGGCACTTCGACCTGGTCCTCGAGTCCTGCCGGCTCGGGGTGCAGAAACCGGACCCCCGGATCTACGCCCACGCCTTGGATGTGCTGCAAGCAAAGCCACAGGAGGTAGGTCCATCACCCCCAGGAGCAGGGCACAGAAGGTCCCTCCGTGCACCCAGACTCAGCGGCCTCTTTTCCCCTGCGTGCTGAGCCTGCTTCTCGCTGGGGTGTCTCCAGGTCATCTTCCTGGATGACATTGGGGAGAACCTGAAGCCGGCACGGGAGATGGGCATGGCCACCATCCTCGTCAGGGACACCAAGACTGTCTTGAAGGAACTGGAGGAGCTCTCGGGTGTGCAGGCAAGCAGAGGTGGTCTGGGTCCTCTTGTGTGCCCAGCTCCCCTGGGTTTAGGTTCTTGGGTCTTGTCGTGGTGTGGTGCTGGTGCAGGACTTGCTGGTGGCTTTGGAAACCAATGGGATGGGAGCTGTGAATCCAGCAGGTCCCGCCCCACCCCTCCATAACCTCATCTGCTGGACCTGCTGAGCCATTTCTATCTCAAATGTATGGATGTCACACCAGCAGCAGGAACTGTTACTGCAACAGGCTGCCCAGGGAGGCTTTGGAGTCTCCGTCCCTGGAGACATTCAAAACCCACCTGGACATGTACCTGTGTTGTCTGCTTTAGGGAATCCTGCTCTGGCAGCAGGGGGATAGACTAGATGATCTCCAGAGGTCCCTTCCAACCCCTACCATTCTGTGATTCTATGTACTCTGTGATTCTTTGACATTCTGTGGAGCTCCAGGCTTGCTCAAGAGCTCACTCTGTGTTCCTCACCCTGCAGCTTCTCACCCAAGAGGAGCCACTGCCAACTGCATGTGATCCATCTGATGTCACCCATGGATACGTGTCCATCCGGGTAGGGCAGAGGGGACTGCCTTGGTGACAAGGTGTCCCCAGGTTTGGAGGTGGCCAGGCATGTCCTAGGGAGGGTGTTGAGCCCTGTGGAAGGATCTGCCAGCTGAAGGGTGGCTTGTTGGGTTGTACACCCACCTGCATGAGCTGCTCTGGGTAGAGGATGCTAAGCTGCCCCATCCTTGAGGTCTTCTCCATGCACCCCAGGGGCCAAAACATGCTTGTGTGGCTCTGGGATGCTGGGCTGGAGGAGGATGGTGGGCTCCCACACCTGGTCACCAGCAGTGGGTGGAGGTTTGGGGGGTGAAGCTGTGTCACCCACAGCTGGTAAGGCCTCTCCATCCCTTCCAGCCTGGTGTCCAGCTGCACTTTGTGGAAATGGGGCATGGTCCTGTGGTCTGCCTGTGCCATGGCTTCCCCGAGTCCTGGCTCTCCTGGCGTTACCAGGTGATGGAGGAGATGGGGAGGAGGGTGGGCAGAGGTGGGATGCTGGAGCGTGGTGGATGGAGGGGTATGGCCACCAATCCTGGAGGGTCCTGGGGCTGTCCCAGCACCCTGCCTTGAACTTTGATGCCCACGGGCCACAACCCAAGAGTGTTCCTCACCCTACAGCCCACCATCTGTGCTCCTGGGGACATCTCCAGGCAGGGTGGGCAGATGCAGTGATGGCACCAGGGGAGGGCAGTGTCTGGGGATCTCGGCATCCTTTGGAGGCTCCTCTATTCCCTCCTAGATCCCGGCTTTGGCTGATGCTGGCTTCAGGGTGATCGCTCTGGAGATGAAGGGCTACGGGGAGTCCACAGCCCCACTGGGTGAGCTGGGTTTTACCAGGGTCTGGAGGGGACAGGAGGGGCTGAAGCTGCAAATTCCAAGGCCAAGACCCAGAAGGAAACGGACGTCTTCTCCTGGTGGGGTGGAATCATAGAATAGTTTTGGTTGGAAGTGATCTTGAAGATCATCTAGTGCTCAGCTGGGTGCAGGACACACCTATAAAGACACATGGATGTTGAAGTGATTGTCTTTCATGCAGACATAGAAGAATATTCCCAGGAGCAGATATGCAAGGTGAGGAGCTCCAGGGGATGGACATGGGCAGGATGAGTGTGGGGTGGGCTGGTAGGGCATGGTCCTGGGCAGGATCTGACCCTTTCTCTCTTCTCTTCCTCAGGACCTGGCAGTTTTCCTGGACAAACTGGTGAGGAGCACTGCGGGATGGGTCCTTCTTGGCAAGGTTTTGCTGCATGTCCTCCCTGGTTGCCCTTCACCTCTTCCTGTGCAGGAACATCTGAGCTATCCAGTGACTTGGGTCCAAACCCCATTGGGTAGCACCAAGCCTTGTCTTTGTGTTGCCCATGAGTGGGATTGTAGAGTTGGGGATGTTCATATAACCCATTGCCAGTGAAGACAAACCCTGTCCTTGGGAGGATCTCCAGTTCTTTGTCATCTTTGCCTGGACTTCGTGTCCTTGCTGAGGATGAGCAGATGGGCTGGTGACACCTGATTGGGTTTTTGGTAAGCTGGTGAGATATGCCTGAAGAAGGATGCTGGACCATGTCCAGGTCCTTGAACCTTGACCATGGCAGGTCCCAGGTGGCTGGGGCTGCTGAAGGACCGACACTGCCCTTCCAGTCTGGTGGGTTTAGAGGTTTGATTTCTGCAGCTTTTAAGAGATGGAGGAGAAGGCCCAGCCTTCAAATACCAACATCTCTGGGACTTTCTCCTTGCCAAGTGGCTTCCAAGGAAACAAGTCCTGCAGGGTTTTCCCTTCTCCTTTCCACACTCCCTGGAGGTCCTTTTCCCTCCCCTGGGACAAGCTGGGGAAGATAAAATGACACCATGAAGCTTCATGTGTCCTTTGAACCTGTTACTGGGATGCAGAAGGTGCAGAGCCCACCAAGAGCCAGCAAAGTGATGGCCAAGGATGGTGGGATGGAACCCATAAGCACCAGAGGGACCTTCTCAGCCCCACATGGGAGCTGGGAGCTGCCAGAAACCCCCCCCAAAACCCTCTGTCCCTCCCTCAGCCCCCCCAGTCCTGATTTGAGGGGGTCTGGGATGCCAGGTTGGACACTGCATCCTCTGGGAGGGAATTTTAGTTAATGCTCCTAATTATGAACCAGCTGCTACATGGTTCAGTTTTAATTGGATTTATTTGGAGGTTGCCCGGAGGTGTCAGGAAAAAGGAAAGGGGGGGGACAGGGGGACACAAGCTCCGTGTGCCCAGCTCCAGGCTGGATCTAAGAAATGCTCCAAGCCCCTTCCCAGAGGGAATTCATTTTGGCTGTGCTGATACGGAGACATTCCCTGATGGCAGCAATGGGGAGGGGGGGACCCACAGAGGTGATCCCAGGGGATAAGCAGCCTCCAGGCATGTTTTCAGTGGATAATCTAGACCTCCCCTTTTCTTCCTGAGGGCTCAGCTCCTGGAAATGTTTAATTAAACCGGAGCAAACTGCTCCAAGGAATGGGGTGAGGTGTCTTGGAGGGAAAAAAAAGGAAAATAGGAGGGGAAAAAAAGGAAAAGGGGGAGAAAAAAATGAAAGTATTGCTGTTATCTAATCTCACTGCTGCTCTGGGGGGAGGCAAATCGCCTCTTGGATGCTGTTTTTTTGGGGTGCAGCCCTGGAGGCCCAGGCTGACACCCCGTCCCTGCAGGGGATCCCGCAGACCGTGCTCATTGGCCATGACTGGGGTGGTGCCGTGGTCTGGAACATGGCTCTGTTCTACCCCGAGAGGGTGAGGTGGGTCCTTGGGGACTTTCCCAGAGGGACAAGGCACCCTGGATCCTGTCCTGTCCCTACAGCAGAGCCCCAGCTCCCATAGGGCACCCCAAACCTGGGTGTAGTGATGACTTTGTGTGTATCCCCACCCTGGTGATGTCCCAGAGCGGTGGCCTCGCTGAACACCCCGTACCGACCTGCTGACCCCACTGTGGACATCGTGGAGAAGCTGAGAGCATACCCCACCTTTGATTACCAGTTCTACTTCCAGGAACCGGTAAGTCCTGGACCACAGTTTTAATCCCCCACCCCAATTTTGGGGCTTAAACCACCCCCCTGGGTTCCAGGGATGTGCCCATGTCGGGTTCCCCAGCCCATGGCTGACACCCCAGCTGCAGATGGCTTGTGGTCACCATTCTAGACCTTCCTGTGCTGAACTCCCCCCCAAAAAACATTCCCAGCCTCTACCCGAGCCTCCGTGGGTGGTGGATTGGGTCCCTGGGGGTGGTTTCCTGGGGTGTGGGGTTGGCATCACCCTCCGTGATGTCCCTCTCCATCCATGCAGGGTGTTGCAGAAGCGGAGCTGGAGAAGGACGTCGGCCGGACCCTGAAGGTCCTGATCCGCTCTGCGCGCCAGGAGGTGGGTGTGAGGCTGAGGGTGGCCCTGGGGTGGGAGCAGGAGGCTCCACAGCCTGCCCCTGGCCTTGATGTCCTCTCTGAGCCCTGCCAGCCTTGTTAGGGCTCTGCCTATTGCACCCCTTCCCCTTCCACCTCACCCTCCACCAGGAGTCGAAATGTTCAGGGGTGGCTTTGCCCTCAGGCCCCCTCTGCCCCGTGGCCACCACCCTTTTGCTGCCTGTCTTCTGCAAAGCCGAGTCAAGCCATCAGTAGGGACCAGAGTGAATGCACCTTTGTGAGCAGGGCTGCTGGGCTTGCACCTTGAAGCTGACCCTGAGTAGGAATGGAAAAGATCTCTGCGGTACCTGGGGGGGGACAGCTTCCCCCAGGCACAGATTTGGGGGTGACTGTCTGAGTGGGGTCTGGCAGAGGCTCCTACTCTCCCCCAGGCCCTGCCAATGCTCCTGTACTTGCTCCAGGGGGGAAAAAACCTTTGTGGTTTAAAATGCCAGGGCCCGGGGGCAGCAGGAGGGGCTGTGCCTGGAGCAGTTTCCTGTCTTCCCGCTGATGCTCCCGGCTCTGCAACCCGGGGCTCCTCCAGCCCGAGGGATTGCTCCCTGCCCCCTGCCTGCTCCCTGCCCCTCGGCTCAGGGCTGGCTGCTTGGTTCCTGCATCCCTTGGGATGCGGTGATGCTCAGAGCTTGCTCCTCGCTCCATGTCCCAGGGCTGCACGGTTGGTTTCTGCATCCCTTGGGATGCAGCTGTGCTCCCGGCCTGCTCCCAGTGAGGAGGGTTGTGGAGCCCCAAGTCTGGCACCACCAGCCCTCCCCGGGACTGGGTGACCCCCCAGGTGCTCCCTGCCAGCCCTTACATTTCCCCTCTCCCCACAGGATCGGCTGCCCTGTGCCTACAAATTCCACCAGGTCCAGGAGCGAGGTGGGGGGGGGG